GAGCGAGTGGTCCCAAAGAGACCCGTGAGGTGCAGTCTTTTTGCAGGGACTGGTGGTGCCACTCCCTGGATCCAGGCACTCTGCACCAGGACCAATCTTCCCACCCTGGTTACCTCCACCATCCAGAGGACAGAGACACCAGCTTACAACAGAGGACACACCTACTGGATGAGAAGAGAATCAGGAAAGATACGGATCTCTAAAGTTAGACCCTGGCTTCTTCCTTCAAGATTTTTTTTGGTTGGTTGGTTGGTGGTTGGTTGGTTGATTTTTTCTCTTCTACCCCTCCATCCTCCAGCCCTCACATCCCCAACATATGTGAAACCAAGAACTTTGCATGAAATAAGACTTTGAGTACTGAGTCATCTGAATAATATAATATAGAGGTATTATATATGTCTCTTTTTTCTCTCCCTTTTTTATTCTTTCATTTTTCTTTCCCCCTTCCAATTTTTACTGTGTTAACATGCGTATTTTTCTAAATTCCTGTGTGTGTTTGTTTTATGTACTCTACTGTCATTCCACGTACTGGCCTAATCCTCTTGGTGCTAACCCTCTTTCACTAGATTTCTCCTTCCCACTTCCTAAGATATATTACATATATGTCCTCACATCCTACCTCCTTAGCACATCGTCCTAAGCCACACCCTCAGTTTATTGTCCACTGTCAGAAAGTGTAAACCTTTTTACAAAACTACTGATTATATTTTACATAATAATTTAATCCAACATTTCTGTACAACGAGACTAAACTGTAAACGTTTTAAAAACAAGAAATTGTTCATAGGTTGTATATTGTTGATATTGGGATCTGTTCACATTGTCCTTTCCCACAAAGGAGAGGTCTTGGAACCCTCAAGAGCACTAAAAAACTATAGGATAAAAAAAATAATAATCTAGACCTGCAGAGCTGAAAGGAAGACATGAGCAACATGAAAAGACAAGGGAAGAAAGTGCCACAAACAAATGAAGACACCACATCATTAGAATCATTGGCAGCCACAGCAGGAGGAATGAGAGAAGGAGTTTAGGATGTACATGGTTACAGTGTTCTGTGAGCTCAAGTAAGATATAAGAGAGAAAATAAAGGCAGCTGAAGATCACTTTGACAAGGAGCAACATAAACAAATACAGGAAGCAAAAGATCACTTCAAAAGGGAGATAGAGGTGCTAAAAAACAAACAAACAGAAATCCTTGAAATGAAAGAAACAATAAACCAAATTAAAATCTCTAAGTTGTCTACCAATGGAGTAGACCACTAAGAAGATAGGACAACTGAAAATGAAGACAAAATATATACTCTTGAAAAGAATATAGAGCACGCAGTGATAATGGTAAGAAACCATGAGCAGAACATTCAACAATTACGGGTTAGTATAAAAAGAACAAATTTAA